AATGGATGGTGTTCTTGGAGCAAACGGCGAACGGGAGATGAGTATATCCCAGACACCTCCATGTGTGCCACATATGCCTACATTGACCACCAAAACCACCCCAATGTAGGCATAAATGGCAGTCCCATGGAGTGTCTGGGTATATATATATATATATATTATATTATGTTTTTTGTGGGGGGTCTATCCCATTATCAGGGCCCAGTGGATGATGATGGTTCAGTTGCAGGCCTGCAGTGATACTAATGCTGGCTTACCGACAGGTAATAGGACAAACCCAATATATGAGGCTTAATGGAGGATAGGCGTGCCCAGAACATCCACTCACTTAGGGGCTTAAAACCACTCCTTTTGGAACTGCTGGTGTATATATAATATATATATATATTTGTTTATAACTATGAGTTTATTTATAGGCGCACGCTCAAATCTGTTCTTTGATGTTCAAGTCATTATATTCATACCACACCAAGCAGTGACTGACTACTAAAACACCGTGTGTTTTTGGGGGAAAGGGACGGGAAAGGGGACCTACCGACCTACCCATACCCTGCAGGTTCTGCAAGTTCTGCAGGTTTGGCGATTCGCCCCAACTCCACAACATTCAGCCGGTTCATGGTCCCAAAAACGACTATATACTTGGGATACCATGGAGTGAGAGGATGACGTAGACGGTCCGGTGTCCGGTCCAGGTCCCCCACCCGGTCTGCGGTGCGCGATGCGAAACGTTCAAATTGAGACTCGCGAAGCGCTCATCCAAGGAACCCAATCCGAGGGTGCACCTCAACGACCAGCGCAACAGGAGAGCTTCAACTCACCAAGCAAGCAAGCAAGTAAGCGAACTAAGTACTGTTTCACCATCAGTTCTTTGACTGCTAATGCTACAAAAAACAACCGAGACCATAGCAACAGGGATCACTCATTCTTCCTCTTATATAACCATTCTGATATTGGACGCGTGTGAGGCGCTTTTCCAGCAAACCGCAAGGACCCGGTGTCCCCAGTCCTATATATAGTCCTATATATTGTGAGTGGTCGCGGGTCAGGGTCCCTTTTACTATACAAACGACAACAATCCAACTGCGCTCCGTGCTCCGTTTCGCGGGAAGGTGCTCTCCGTTTTTCGCACGTGTTTTTTCCCACGAGTCAGTCAGCCAAGGTCCTTGGATGACACAAACCCTTGGATTTCCCAGATACTTTGGGAATCTTTAAGACTCCAGGTAGTTATGAATCATGGTGCCCACGTGCGTGACACTGGGCCAAACCCACTGAGACAGAACGCCCCCAGGTCGCGTTCTAAGCGAGGTGAGTGACTCGCCCTGTATTGAAACGACGCATGAGACAAGCACCTGATCTCCGCGATCTCCGTGTGGATGAGCCAAAACATCTCGTGTCATCTCCTCTCATTTTCCATCATGTTCCCATTCTCCAAGGTGTCGATCATCGTGGTTTGAAGCCTCATTTGTGGTATAGATGATTGGATCTACCGTAGGTGGTGCGCCTGTGGTCCTTGCGGCCTGGTCCTTGCCCGACGTCGCTGGAGGCACCGATCTGCGGAGTTTCTCGCTGGAGGTCCTCGTGGTGCTGGGCTGCGTGGAGAGGGAGGACACAGTCCACTGGGAGCAAGAGATCTTCTCGGTTCAAATGGCACAATCCCCCAAAAGGTAGTTTATATGGACCCCCCATCTAAACATATCCGCCGGCCTGCCGGCGTGTTTTGTGGATTGTTTTGGTTAGTATTGCTTGTGTTGGCTTCAATCTACGGTTTGTCTCTCCGCGCGGATTTTTCGACAGCCTGACGCCCCCCCCCCCGTGGCTGGGAATACTGCGCCCTATGAGTCGATGAGCGCTTTTTCACAAGTTGCGTACCGGATCACGATCCAAGTGCCCTGTGAAGCCGCGGTCGTGTAGTGACCTGATGTCAAACGTTTATTTGGCCAGTGACCTGGAGTCGCACGCAGCATGGATAAATAATATAATGGATGGGGGTTAAATATTGATAGCGGTGTGTATGGTTACTTGCACCCCAGCTTGCCAACGATGACTTGCTTTGGCTGAGCTTTCGAGATGCCGCTTGCGACTCCGCTATAGATCCCTGTGAAGCTGCGGCCGTGCAATGACCGATGTCAAGCCACCTGGAATCGCATGCAGCATGCGAGTAGGTAGATGAAGGAATGACCACATAAGCCATCTTCACCTGTGTAGTAGGGTGTTTGACTTCTGAAACCATTTGCATGTAGGTACAAGTATAGAAGGATGTGGAAACTCTGAAATCAGCAGCTGAACGCAGCACCGATACTGGGTGTTAAGTTTTAACATTGTCGTGTATGGCTACTTGCACTATCTATCTTCAAAGGAAAGGAAGGCAGCTCCTTGTTACAAGTTAGAAGACCAAAAAACTTTGAGATACCGCTTGCGACTCCGCAAGGATCCGCTCCAGTATGGAGTCTTATGGGAGAATCCGCAAAAAGTCCGACGCAATGGAGAATTGCGGCGCAGCCTTGCCTATACAAATTTGGCCCAATCGGCCCACTCCCGGCAGCATTCGGCAGCCGCTCGGGAGCAAACAAACTTCAGCCGCGCGCATTCATTATAGTGATCGACGTGGATATGCTGTAGTGTTCCTGCAGACAACGGTCCATCACAAGGACACTTACGCAGCAGAGAGATATGCACAGAACCTAGCGCTAGGCTTCATTCTCTTTTCTGGACACCTCCAATGAGATCATCAATAATCAAAACAAAGCCTCTAGCATCCTGGTACACTCCAAACCCTGGCGCCATTGCAACCGAGCTTCCAAATCTCTGCTCGATCTGCGATTGCATTTGCCACTTTGAAGACCAAGTCCAAGCCGAAGTCCACCACAAAAGCACCATGCGCTTGCCGTGGTCCTCGCAAAGCAAGGCTAAGATTGCATGGGAGTTAGGGCCTCCAGTGACATCAGGAATATAGTGAACAATTCCCACGTCATGTCAAAAACGTGTTGGGACATATAGTTAACAATAGGGATAGGACGTGCGACACCTTTCAAAGAGCAACCTTGTACTAGGGCGTTGGGAATCTGGCCATGCTTCGCATCAATTTCATTGCCTGATGACATGGGAGTTTTACACTCCGCATACAGAAAGGCAATTGAGCAAATAACTTGGGAATGTGTGAGTTCCCAATTTTCTTTAGGTCCCATCCACCGAACGTAGTATAGTTGCACGGTAGACCCTATAGGTCGAAACAACAGGACCGGTTGGCGAGCCCATTCCGCCGAACCCGCCTGGCTTGGAGGCGAGCGGGATCGAACGTCCTGCGGCCATTTAGAAACAGTTACTGTCGCAAACCACAGGTAAGTTTCAAGCCGAAAATCTGTCTATTCTACGCTTGCTTCCAACACAGACGCCTCGGCGTCAAAGACATTGGACTGCCGGGTCTGAGTGGATCCACGACCGCGCACATCGTCGGACAGAACCTTTGCTGGAACACAAGAAATCAAGGTGCAGCCACCCGCTTTGCAAGATGAAAGGGGCCAAGAATAGCGGTTTTTAGAACACCATGTCACTTCCATACTAAGCTTTGTCGCCTACCAGATGCTTAGTCAAGGAGCTGAAAAATTGGTGGGCGAGATGAACGCCAGCTCTTGCTTCCATTCTGCAAAGCCTGTGTGACAAGCATGCGTCGTTCATCGGAGACCACCAGAATATAAAAAACAACGAGGCCATCACTCTCAGGTTGGAGGCCATCGCACTCAGGGTGGAGGCCATTACCATTGCTATCAGGTTGGAGGCCAGCGCTGTTAGGTTGGTAACTTAGCTCATGCTTTCTGAAAGGCCCACATTCTAATTCTATGCGCGAGGGTCATCCCTATAGGGTCATCGATTTTGGAAGGTTTGGCGCGTTAATTTAAAACTAACTCTAGACATTCATATTCTAACTGGTCGTCCAGTAGTCCTCTACTGTAATCGTTTCTTCTTGGGAGGAAAAAGCTTGACTTGTTGAACCGAGAAACATGTGGCCAACTGACAATGCTTATCGAAGCGCTCTGTACAAACCACCTGGACCATTTCGTGTCCAGTCGAGCTCCAGTACAGCACCCGCTTACCCACCATTGCCATGGCTTCCGACGGCTCAGTATTTCCTAGATGAGTATCACACTTACCTACAAGCTTTGCAAGTTAAGTATCCAACGTGTGAGACAAGTCCTCATTGTCCGATATTGAAGATATGAGCTCTTTTTGCATCAGCGAGCATCCGTAGCAAGACATAATCCAAACAAGTGCCGGACCCTTGAACATGGCAGCCAAAACCTTCCGGTTCAGGCTTCCATCTTATACGTGAGGCAAGCGCAACAATGTTTGCAAGCGGCCCGATGCTTTTGCGATCACATCCAACAAAATGCAATCCCTCTGTAAATTTTCAGACCTACGAATGCTAGCTAACGTCACGAAACAACCACAATCACCCTCATCGCCCTTATCATTATTCACTGTTGTGGTGATGCACGGGACACCTATCATCCACCGTTTCGGGGTTGTCAAAATGTAAGTGGCTCCTCTAGTTGACCGTTGTGAGTGCAAGTTGGGACTATCACCAACCGCTGTGGGGTTGTCCCAGCGCAGGTGGCCCTTATCATCCACCGTTGTGCGGTTGTCCAAGTGCAGGTAGCCCTTATCATCCACCGTTGTGGGGTTG